GTGTGTGTGTGTGTGTGTGTGTAGGGACACATCAAGGTTTTTCTACCATCAGCTTTTATTCTTTTGACACTTTGAAAGTAAGACTGTCTCTCCTTCCCAAAGCTGGACAGTAAGAAGCCATGTTACAAAAAAAGTGAATAACAAAAATCTGTTATTGTAATTAATTGCACACTTGGTATTATGATTTCACCAAAGCTGAAAGGCCCTTTGAATGAGAACCTTTTCATCTGACCTTTGAAATATAACATCTGAGTGTCATGTGTATCTCTTCCTAAAAGGGAGGATTTGTCCTGCAGTTTAGAGTGTGGGAAAGAACCACCCTATTGTTCCTCAAGGACTCTTTTGGCAGCACTGAATGTATGAAACAAAATTGCCATCCCACAGTAGAAGTTATTTTTCTGAACAATTTAATTTTTTGCATTCTCCTGAACAGAATGGAATGTTTTGCTGTAAAACTGCTGTAATCAGAAGTTTCAACTGTTGTTTACACAAGTTCTAATGAAAATGTTTATGGATGAGTCAAACTGCTTAGAAGTCTTAATTATCTAGCTGTTATATTGAGTATTTACCAAAGCAGATTAAATCAGTCATTTTGTTTTAATATTGTTATTAAAGTTCAAATAAAACAGTAATCTGAAACAAAGGTCCACCCTTTCTGTTTTGATTGGGTCAACCATCAATATTGTTAACGCCTCTAAGTCAGAGAAAAGTTATTCTGACGTTTAGTTTAAAGCAGTCTTGGGGGAAGCTTTTGAAGAAGAAAGGTCAAGCAATTGAAATTTATTCCAGAAGATAAGAAGTTCATGCAGAAAAGAGACAAGTGTTCCAGAGATTTGTCTCATGTTTCAAGGAAGCACCAAAAGGTACTGTACCTTGTCACCAGAAGGAGAAAACGCAGCCCTCCGAGAGCACTTCAACTGACCCTTCGGGAGCCGGTTAACTCGACTCCAGATTTCAGCTGATGTCCAGTGCAAGGGATATCCACCTTTGACGATTAACTCATTTCAAGAGAGTCCCTGGTAACCCTCATGCGGTTGAACTAAAACTTCAAATCAGTAGGAAAAGCTGTTCATTCTCTCTGCTGGTGTCTGGTGCTCAAGATAAGAAGCTTTCAGTCTAAGCAAAATTCATCATTATTAATTAGAATTAAGTTTTCCTAAATTGACAAATACATCTAGCCAAAACACTTCTTTTAGTTAACTTTATAGATAACAATTTACTCTGGTTTTGAACCTCATAATTCACCATATTAAAGATTAGAAGATAATTCCCTAACCTCTTCTTGTATTGTCAAGTTAAAGCCATTATTCATTCTTCAGCTGTACTCATCATTTTGATCACTTATATTTACCAAAATCGAAAATAAACTTCACAAAATTGTACTTTGACTCTAAGCATTTTTATTATATATGACATTTGAATTTAATACGAAAAGAACTCACTAGAACGCGTAAACTTGAGTCTGAGTTTATATTTTTCTTGCTTAAGAACCGGAAAGCAAGTGGTGCCCCTTTCAGAATAAAATTTCTAATCAAAATTCAACAATCTGAGGACCCCTTCCTCTACATAAATTGGTGCCTCCGCGCGAGACCATATTCTAAATTAAATTGTCATATAATTAATACGCTAAAAACGTGGTGAATCCTTTAGAGCTGAGTATTTTTGTCAACAATTATAACAGATACTTTTAGACTGGAAAGCTCACGGCAAGCAAGCTACAGTGTTTCCGGGTTAAACCCCGTCTTTCAAAGAAGCTAAAATGTTCTATAACTCTGCTGAACTTTTGGACTCTTCAAAAAATGGTAATATTGGGCTTTCTGTGTATGTTTGGACACTTTTAGGTGGTTAGTGGACGCACGAGCCATCTTTTTGTGTCGTAAAGGGTTGTTTGAGAAACTTGGAAAAGCTAACTTCCTCGATCTGTTATGCATGCATTATTTTGAATATATTGTTGTAATCGGCCGAGGAGAAGAGATTCTGATGCCTGTGAGTCCCAGGGTTAGAGACTTTTCTCTCAGGATATTTCAGAGTTACTGCGAGTCCCGGTAAACTCTGAATGATATCCTGACGTTCTCCGTGTTAGCATTTTTGGATTAGCTACCCAAAGGGTTAACCCCTGAGCATAAACTCAGGTAGGAGATTGTTAACTTTCCTTAGCGGATCCGCCACGATCTGCTTCAAAAATGAAAGTTGTCCAGGACCTACGGTCGGAGAAAACTCCGTTCCGTACTGTGACCTGTAGCGGTTGCCCAGCAACCAGTGTTGTTCACGAACGGTGAAACTCTACCGTTCGGATTTGTTACTCTGTGAATAAAGTCACAGAGATTGTGTCAAGACTTAACCTGTGTTTTGTTGTGGCGTTAAAAAAAAACACCTCAGGTTGGGGTTTAAGTTTTAACTTGGTTTTGAAACTGTTTAAATTAAGGTCTGTGTTGCATTCAAGAGCTACACGCTTCCCCGGCTGGGTGGACGAATTGCTCTGAAGGGCATGCGCAGTGTAGCAAGATTTGAAAAGTTGTGTTTTGCTGTGTGACTGTTGCTGGTTGATGAAAATGCTGTGTTAAAGTGTTGCTCTGTTTTGGTTGACTGGTAAAAGGTAAAAACGCTACCCCATCCTACCTCTTTGGCCAAGAGAAGACCCCATCTGGTTGCCATTTTGAGAAGTACACTTTATAAAGCAAAAGGGGAGGTCGAATCTCATCACAGACCACCCTCCTTTCCTAAAACACCGCCTTGTCCCAGCCCTTAAAACTGACTGCCCTCCAATGGTCAAACCAAATCTTACACTTTATGATTTCTATTTTTAAACTTTTCATCTTTTCAAAAATTTGAATTACACAAAAATAGTGAACACATAATTCTTGAACCAAACAGGTTAAGACTGAGTTGATTTCATCCTGCTTTGTGTATTTTAATCATTTATCAGCATATTTACCTCAAATTTGTAAATAAGTGTAATCATTCTTAACTTTTAACAATTGTGCTGGGAAAGGTAAATAACTGTAGTGAACTCGGCCTCCGACCAAAACCTGCCACTGAGGACCTTCATGGGACAGGAACTGTTATTTCATTGATTTGAATCCAGAAATACAAATTAGCTCATCCAGAGACTGTCTAATTGTATCCTGAAGTAATCAATTGAAAGAACAGTCTTCTTTTATATTATCATTACTATTTTACAATATCTTGATAAATCAAAAGTGTGTTTAGCTCATACCATTTCTAAATGTTGAAGTGAACCACTAATTTTAAATCAACTGTGAAACAGTATTAATGATTTTTTAATCCTCATTTAAATTAGAAATCAAGTTAAATGTCTAGTTACAAAGTAATTATGCATTTTGATCTTCTGTCTGAAATGAGAAGTAGTGATGTCGGTCGAAAGTCAGAAAGAAGTTAATAGAACGAAGTGGATTGTTTTTAAACCTAGCAGACGGTAAATAAGAAGCTACTGGCACCTGCTTGCTCTTACTTCGCCATAACATGTCTTCTGTCTGTACTGAAAGTCTCTAAAACATTCCTGCTGTTTTCTTGACTTGTAATGACCCTCTGACATCACTAGAACCACCCCCTGTTGGTTGTTTCAACCAATCAGGAAGTCCTGAAGTGACCAGAAGTGAGAACTCTTTAAGAGTCCACACTTCCTGGAACTTCTCAGTCTTCAGTCTTCTTTAGTCTTTGACCGGAGTCTTCCTGTGGTCTTCTTCAGTCTTTCATGGAGTACTCCACTTCTGAGTGGAATCTCTGACTGAAGTCTTCCTGAGAGTTCCTAAGGAACTTTCAGATTTAATCAATAGCTGATGGATTTGACTGTGAGACGAGGGTCCGTCCATCCCAGCTGGAGTCACAGCGCCTCGCTGTGAACTCACCCGGGCGTAACGCCCTACAACTTCTAAGGAAGCTTATTCTGTTGAACGGAGTACCATCACTATTTCGGACGATTCTCAGCCATCCTGACCGGAGACGCTGAAAGGTAGCGTTGAAATGGACCAGCTGACCTATCTTCTGCAAAGGTAATGAGTCGCCACGCACCGAGTGTACCGGGGCTGAGCTGGGGTCGGGTGAAGAGTGCCATTCCTAGTCAACACACTTTCCCTCATCCATATTTTCTCTCCATTTAAACTCCTTCATTTCCCATCTTTAAACTTTCCTATTTTGCCAGTAGTCTAGATGCCTTCTTCAAGTTATGTTGGCTTATTAAGTAAAACGTGCCAAGTTTTATTAATCAGAACCAGATCAGCTAATCAAGTGTACAATGTTTTGATGTTAAATTTTGATTCTGTTCAATAAATGACCGCATTTATTCTGATGGGTCAAAGGAAATTAACGTCTCATGTCACTGATTAGGCCCTGTGATGGACTTGCGACCTGTCCAGGGTGTACCCCGCCCCTCGCACAGTGATTGCTGGACATGGGCACCGGCGACCCCCGTGACCCAAATTGGAATAAACGGGTAAAGATAATGGATGGATGGATGGATGGATGGATGTCACTGATTAAACAATCCACGCACAGTTACCTCGGTCACACGGCGGTAATTTAATTTGAAAAAGAGAGAACCTGTTTATTAAAATATATTGTAGTCAAGGGCAGCTAACCTAGCCCTTAGCACACTACATAACCATTTGTGTTCAAAATCTTTCAATTGTTATCCAATCTTAATTGCTTAACTGCTTTTGAATTGTGTTATCTTTATAGCTTAAAAGTTAACTTGTGAAATAAATAACTGCAAAGCATTCAGTTGTTAAGGGAAGCTTCTTGGCTGTTTAACCTTTAAACAAAAGCTTTAAACAAAAACAACAAAATGACAAACAAACTCAAACAATAAAAGTTAATTTCTTTAACCAGTTAACTAGCTATTCAATTCAAATAACCCACATAAATTAAGATACAGTTAAAGATAACACTAACCGAAACTTTGTTCATTTATGTACATAAAAGATCATGGCTGAAAGCCATCCAGACGATTCAACCGACATGAGTAATTCTGAAGAGCTTGTCCCAGAAAACCCATTTATTTTATTGACACAAGCCCTAAAAGATCTAACCTCAGAAACAAATCCTAATTATTGGGACCAAATTAAAGACCAGGGCTCTAATGAACTTGAACAGATCACAGTTGAGTTAGCAACTGATGTTGTGGTTCACATACCCAAAGGTCATGAGGCCACTAAAACGCTAGGAAGCTTGGCGATAGTTGTGGCCAGATGACTGGAACTTACCCATAACCTGGTCATTCAAGCTGCGGACACTCTTCAAAAGAAAAAGCAAAAGATGGGTCAATTAAAAGAAGCAAACAAATTTCTTCAAACACAATATGATAACATGGTCACCAATGAGAACCAAATGAAAACAGAACTATCTGATTTAATACAAAACTTGGACCTCCTCAGTCAAGCACACACAGAGGTAAAAGACGACTCGCAACCAACCAACCAACAAATATTGACAGACACTCAAGACAGACTGTGTCAAGAGTTGGAAGCCAAAACAAACATTCACATTGCCCTCCAACAAGCTGACACTGATCGGGATCGTATAAAGATAGATAACAAAAGTCATGTAGAACAATTACGTAATAAAGACAAACAGATACAACAGTTACAAAATCAACTTTCCAGAACCCAGAAACATGTTACAAGCTCAACCACTCAGGAACTCCCTGAAACAGGTGCAAAACATTTAGTGAGGAGCGGACCATCTCCTCCTCCGGTGAACGTGACCCCTCCTCGAGTTTACCCAACACATGTTGATGACCTGGACCAGGCAAGTAGATCAGCAGGGGAGTATGCCTTCAGGCCTAACTCCCCCATGGTAACCTGGACTTACCCTCCAGTTACACCAACAGTCACTAGACTTGACCCCCCTTCAGACCAAAGGGTAAACCGAGCCCAGCATGGTCCATCCGACAGAGAATTGGACAAAATTGCTAAAAACATCAGCTGCTTTGACTCCTCACCAAGTGGTCAACATCCAGAGCTTATCTTGATTACCTTGACTTCCAACTTCAAAGATTTCCTGACACTACTGTCCGGGACTACATCTATCTGATTAAGCTGACAGCCAGTAGGGAGGTCAATAAGTTGGTCGACCGTCAACCGACTCAGGTACGGACTAGTCTATTCCTCCTGCGCCAAGCTCTAGAGAAAGAGTTCTCTGAACTTGTCCTACAGTCTGGACTGGCATCAGCCCTTACAGTCAGACAAGACAGACATGAACTATCAAACAACTACTACTACCGGCTTCTCCATGCTTATTTTGGTTCGCGAAATAAACCTCAGATGGAAGAAGACCCTAATTTCTGAACTCTGTCTGTCCAAAATCTCCATCCATCAGTCAGCCATCAGCTAGGCATAATGGCTGACCCTCGCACCACCACGATTCAACAGCTACGCGATTGGGCCATTTTAGCATTCCAGAAGCTAAAACAGGCCAGATCGGTTGAATCAAACGCTGTCCTAATGATGAATACAAGTTCTTTGCCATTAGAACTTGAAGGAACTGGTGCATATTCTGACTCGTACCGGGAAAAATTTGCACCTCCAACACCCAAATCCAGTGGGACACAACAGTATTTCAGCCTGACAATCCTCATCAGGGTAAAGGCCCAAGTAAATATCCAGACTCTTTAAAGAACCAAAACCATCCACGTCCCAACTACCAAAACTACAACAGAGATTATCGGGGGTAGACACTCTCCAATATATAACCACAAATTCACAAATCACGACCAACCTTCAAGGCAGACCCACCAGTTTCAGAACCGTTGCTCTCGACCTGAGAAAGAACCAGTCTCACCGCGTGTGCAACATCCTGAAAAGGTAAGGGAGTCAACCAATCCTCAAGAGGAAGACCTCAGCGGTCTAAGCCAAAAAGATAGGCAGATTGTCATGCGTATACTGGAAGAAATACGCAAAGACAATAAACAGAACAAGGCTGACCTTCTATCATCTATGGGCGGCTGTGGCTGAATGGTTAGAGCAGTCGTCCTCCAATGCGAGAGTTGGGGGTTCGAATCCACCAGCAGTCACATGCCGAAGTGTCCATGGGCAAGACACTGAACCCCTCTTAGCCTCTGATGTGTGTCCCATCAGTGTTTGAATGTGAGTTAAAGCACTGATTAGTCTCATTAGAATGATTTGTTCAATTAGCTTTGTAGAGATCTAGTAGAGTGCTGTATGAATGGGTAAATGAGGACACAGATTGTAGTGTAAAGCGCTTTGAGTATCTTGAAATAAGATAGAAAGACGCTATATAAGTACAGTCCATTTATCAATAGTGTCTCTTGTTCCTGAACTTAACAGTCCAACTGTTGCTACTCTACCTTTGGAACCCCAAGCCATAGGGGAAGATACTCAATTGGCAACTGCAGATCGCAGCTCTTCCCCTGTTGCTGAGGTAGAGACCTCTGATGTTGACTTTTATGGTTCAGAATCAGAAACTGACCAGTCACGCATACCAAGTGCTGTCTTAATAGTCCAGATGAATGTTGACGACCCTTCATTTGAGAATGATAACTCTAGGATTCCGGTGGAACCTCCAGTACAACAGTTCTTGTGTAACCTAACTGAAAAAGGAGTCACAAAAAAGTTCCTTCTGGACATTGGGGCAGAAATAACTCTAATGTCTGCCACACTGTTTGAGAAACTGCAATCAGTGGCAAATCGGGTCGGCAGAGATCTTATCCTCCAACCATGTGCCCTGGACGTGAAGCCGTATGCCCTCAATGAAACCACTCTGTCCAGAGTAGATTTCCAGTGCGCTGAGCTGGACGCTTCTGACCAATCAGACAACCTGATAAGCCATAATCAGGTGAATGAGGTCGTAACGTCCACCACAGGAGGGCCAGCCACCACTGCACAACCACTGGCGCTGACCCTAGCCCAACGTGACAATTTCTTGTGTTCCCTAGGTCCCTCACAGTCCAGTGAACACTACCTACCACAGGTGTTGAAGGTCTTGAGATACAGAACTCCCACATGAACAATGTTGTCCTAACTCTCTGGACGGATAAGTCCTCCATCAGCCATGACCTCTATGATGCCTTGGTGCAGGATCACTGTGACCTCCAGATGGTTAAAAAGTATTTCTGCTTCCAAAATGACCTGAAATCTTTTTGTGTCTTAACAAGTGGGGGTATCTGTGTCCTCAAAATAAAATGGAATCATAAGTAACTGACCCATCCATTTCTTGTGGTCCCAAACTTGCCTCATGCTGTGTATATAGGCAGTGACATCTTAGTCTGACTTGGTGTTCAAATGGATACCATCAACAATGTTTTGTGGTCCCTGACAACTGTTCCTCAGGACACACTTGTACCCGATCTGGACAATCTCCGATCTGGACAGACAATCCCTGAAGCTTGTCAGGTAGCCAACAGTCAACACATTACGGTACCAGCTCATACTCAAAACAAACCCATGCCAATACACATCCTAGCAGGACAAACTCTTAGACATTCACAGGCTTTCTTCCAACCTGCCCCACTCTTCTTCGACTTAGGACTTTCCTTAGAGGCCACACCCCTCTCGGGCCTCAACTCCAGGATTTCTTGCCTTTCCATCTGTAACACCAATGCAGAAGACATTCTGATTCCTAAGGCCACTCCTTTAGGTTGGCTAGTAAGCACTAGCTTCCATGACTTTGAGTTGAATGTACCCATCTTGGGAGACATCCCAAACTCCCTCTCCCTGATCATATTCTGGCTGTGTTTTTAATTTGCACTGATTTATTGTGTCCTGTTTTTAATCTTGTTTTATCTTGTAAAGCACCTTGGTCAATGAAAGGCATTGTTGGAAGGTGCTATAGAAATAAAGTTTATTATTATACTGAACATGTTTTCAATTCAATTAGGGCTGCAACTAACGATAATTTCAATAATCGATTCATCGGCCAATTATTTTTTCGATTAATCGATGAATCGGCAAAAAAATAAAACGTTTTAATTTCCACCCCTTTATTCCAAAATTGAACATTTGACTGACATAGCAATTCGCACAAAAAACAGGTTGCTATTTGACTATTCTGTTAGTAAAATATTGAATAATAAAAAATAAAAGTTAGTCAAATAGCTTTAAAAAAATAAATGTACACAAAAATATATACAAATGTATCTTTATACCTGCACAATATGTAGCTGCTTTGTAAAATGTGTCATTGAGGGAAGAGCGTAACCTGGATTAAAAGTGTGGAATATTGTAACCTGGATTAAAAATGTGGATCAAGGTAGTGAAGCCTTCGTCTTCAACCATCGACAGAGGCCTCATGTCAGTGATGATCATTTAAGGATGATTTCACCGGAATTCTCAGGAATTCCTTCAGAGAGTGATGGTAAGTAGAAGTCTCAAAGATTTTGTCCTTTGTCAACCTTTATTTCAAATTAGAGCGGTAGCCTACAGAATCGCAAGTAGAGAGATTGATTATATTTTGGATTCAATTGCTCGGGGTTGCCGAAGGTTGTTAAAAGTGGTAAGGGATAGTATATAATGGATCAGGTTGTGAGTTGGGGTGATTGTGAAGGTTTTTGGAGCATTTAAGTGCGTCAGAACGACCCTAGGGGCTCCTAGGGCATGGTCGGCTTCCCCAGCCCTCCTCAGGATCCGAGAACCACCTTACCAAGTGGACTGATCAACCTCTGGAGTCCAACTAAATCTCTGAGCCACTTATTAATCACCATGTATCCACTGTAATCGAATGTAATCATTGTGTTGGATTGTGTTTACCGCTGTTCCCCCTGCAAATCATTGATTAAAGCAAAGCAAAACGTAAAATTCTGGATTCTTATTTCAACACCCCTTTGTTCACGGAAGTGGAGAACTTGTTTCAATGTTAACAACAAAAGTTCAGGAGGTTTTTAAAGGTTTCGTAGCTTTCATTATAAAACAACATCCATGAATCTTATTCCTAGATTCTAAACAAAACCAGATTGGATAACAATTACAACGCTAAATTAGGAGATGAGCAGCCATTAACATGCGCTTCCTCGTCTGCCGAACGTCCCCACTCCTGCTGCTAGGTCGGGCGAGGCACGAGGTGTGATTCTGGGTGTGGTGCACGGATAGGAGGGTGTTAACTTTCTGGGTGAATCATCTCAACATAGCCTTAGACTAAACTGTCCTAAAAAAACTGCTACGGGTGATACCTGAGCCTTAGGATTAGTTTTAGACCCCGTGGAGGAGAAGGGTGCAGTGAGGGCGTGGCACACGTCCTGTGTCTACCTCACTTGGGTAAGCGAAACAGTTGCCAACGCTTTTAATCATCGATTTTTATCGATTTTATCGATTCGTTGTTACAGCCCTAAATTCAATTCAGTTTATTTATATAGCGCCAAATCACAACAAAGTTGTCTCAGGGCACTTTACAGGAACATTCACATACATAAAAGCCAATTAGTAAAGTTCTCTATCTAAGGAATCCAGCAGACAAGTTGAATCTTGGCTTCGTTGCAGTCTCCCAAATTTTGTATGCAAAACCATCCAAAGCCATCACCCTTTTCTCAATCACTGATTTCGACTCTGACACCATTCGATGTGTGGACCTCACCAACAAGGGCCAGATGCAAACCTTTGACGTAATTTTGATGAGTATGACCACAGAGACACCAGACACACCTGTAGAGTCACCATCCTCTGAGCTCCACCCTTCAGTCCAATCACATATCTAACAAGTAGTTTCCCAAGCTGACACTCTTACCAATGATGAAGAAAGAGAAAAACTTTGCCAGGTTCTTCTCAAATATGAAGAGTCCTTCTCAGTCGACTCTTTGGACTGTGGTTTGACTTCAATCCACACCGTCCGCATACCAACTCCACCTAATTCTCTTCCTACTTATGTGTAGTACAAGATTCCTTTGGCAGCCTATGAGCCCGTACAAGAAATCATTGACAACCTTTTGGAGAATTGAATAATACGGCCATGTAACATCACTTACTCTGCACATTTGTGGCCTGTTCTCAAACTCAATGGAGAATGGAGACTCACTATCGACTACCGGAAGCGGAACCAACAGGTTCCTCTTTCCAGATGGCTGATGACTCAACTCGAACAAGAACTTCCTAAGGTGATCAACGCCAAGTACTTCTCCACGCTTGACGTGGCTTCTGGGTTCTGGACAATCCCAGTGCATATAGCCGATCAACATAAATTGGCGTTCACCTTTGCCAACCGCCAGTACACCTTCACCAGGTGCCCCTTTGGCTATGCAAACTCACCAGCTGCATTCAACATCTTCTTAAACAAAGCGTGTCCAGATGCAAGGGAACGGGGAACCCTCATCTATGTAGAGGACAACCTTCTACGCCAACCCATGCTTGACTTTCACTTAGCTGAGATTGACCACGTGCTGAATCAACTCATAGCTGTTGGTGCAAAGATCTCACTTTTGAAGTGCCAGTGGTGCAAAGCTAAGGTGGAATACATCGGTCTACTTGTCAGTCCCGATGATGTTCAACCCCAACTTAGTAGAACCGAAGGCCTTGCCAACCTTAAGACACCCTCCAACCTCAAAGAACTTCGTAGTTTCCTTTGTGTTTGTAACTTCTCATGCCAGTTCATAGAGAACTACGCTGATCTGGCAAAACCTTTAACCGAACTCTTCAAAAAGGATGCGCTTTTCCAGTGGTCTGATGTTCAACAGCAAGCCATGGATGCCCTCAAGGCCAAGCTGTGCTCAGCACCATGTCTGGCATACCCCAACAGTGACAAAGACTTCTACCTTGAAGTGTTTTTTTTTCAACTTAATGATTGAGTGCTGGTCTGTACCAACTCTATGACCAGGACAAACATGTAGTAGCCTACGCCAGCAAAACCCTGGCAAGACCTGAACTGAAATACTCTGACTGTGAGAAAGCACTGTTAGCCACTGTGTGGGCAGTGAAACATTTCTCTAACTATCTAGGTGGACGAAAGACTATTATGGAAACACAACACCAACCAGTACTCTAAACAGCCAACGTATCAGAGATGGTGTGGTGACAAATGCATGTGTGGCTTCATGGCTTATGGCCTTGCAGTTTTGACATAGAAGTTCGCTATGCTCAAAACAAGAGAACCCCTCTGGGCACAGACTTGGCAGCCTGCCAACAGTGCACTCAGGATGCCCCTTTGGTACAGACACCTGTCGAACATGCCACCGCCTTTGAAGACCCACATCATCAATAATTTGATGAAAATGTTTGTAAGGACATGACAACTGTGTATGTGGATGGATGTTCCTTCCACCACAACACTGTTATCAAAGCTGGTGTTGGTGCCATTTGGCTCTACAATGGGGAACAACACACCTTACATTTTAAGCTAGGCCCACAATCATCACAATATGCTGAAATTGTAGGCATATTGATGGCATTGCAAACCGCAGTAAAACACTCTGTTTACTTTTTGGTGATCTGCACAGACTCCAATTATGCACGGCTGAGTTTCTCTTTTCACCTTGCTGTGTGAAAACATAAAGGCTTTCTCATGTGTAACAATAAAGCAGTGAAACACAAGGACTTGTCCATGGCATGTGATCACTTGGTGACATCTCACAACCTACAAGTTTTTTGGAAAAAGGTCAGAGGCCACTCACATGTGCCAGGACAGGACAAAGAGCTTAACTATCTTGCAGACTCGTTGGCCAAAAGAGGTGCCATAAATGGTACCCGGTGGTCTTTCGACCCCTCTTGGTTGCCTGCTTATGTCCCAGACCCACTCTCCTCAGAGGTGTGTACTCTCACACGTTCTCGTGCTGAAGCTACCACCTCTACTGCTCCACAACCAGTGAACAACACAGTTTCAGTGGAACCTGCATTTATGGACAAGGACCTCATGGAACTTCAGTCTCTGGATGCAGCCATCGGGAAAATGATTCAGTACCTGGCTGATCCAGATACTAACATTCCTTCCTTGACCGAACTTGACTCTGACCCTGAACTGTTTTAAGGTTCGCTCATACCTGAAAATGGTCAAAGGCATGCTCGTCTTTGCTCCCGATCCAACATCTTCATCTTCTTTCGTTGTGCCTCGAGATCACAGAGTGGTGATGCTGGTACATGCCCATGACCTTCCGTCTTCAGAACACAAAGGCGTCAAAGCAACTCTCAATGTGTTAAAGCAAATTTCTTATTGGCCAGGGATGCGCAAAGATGTAAATGACTACATCAAAGGATGTTTGGTCTGTTGTCTGTTCCAACCTGCAACACCCCTTCACAGAGCACCATTGCAAAGCAGAGGGATCACCTTTACGTGGTCCAATTTATAGATCGATTGGGTAGGACCACTAACTAAACTGACCAGAGGAAATAAATATTTCCTCACTGTGACCTGTGCGTTCACCAAATGGGTTGAAAGCCTACCGGCAGCAAATGACACCGCAGACACCACTGCTTATCTACTGATGAACCACATCTTCACATGGTTTGGACTTCCACTCGGGTCAACTCCAACAGAGGTACACACTTCACTGCTGAGGTGATGCAGAAACTTTGGCAAATGTTGGGAGTCAAAACAACATTTTTCAGTCAGGTCATCTGGACAGTTTCTTTTTTTTGTGCTGAAACGTTTCACCTTCGATCCGGAAGGCTTCATCAGTCAAGGAAACACACAACAAAATTGATTCTTTAGTTTTAAAACTAGGCTTAAGACTTTCCTTTTGGCTAAATCCTATAGTTAGGGTTGGCTTGGGTTTCCTGAGCTGTTCCTTAGTTATGCTGCTATAGGCTTAGACTGCTGGAGAACAAACTGACCACAATTTTCACTCTGCTACTGTCTTTACTTACTC